GGGGTGGGCGGGGGGCCTTCGAGTGCTTGGGCTGCGGGGGTGTCCAAGCCCAGGAACGGGTTGGCTCGGTCACCAGGCGCTGCTTCTCAGGCGCTGGGAGGGCAAGCGGCTGCGGCGCCCCTCTGCTCGTGAAAGGCCGTGGGGCACCTGCCTTCGGAGGGGGCAGCGTTAAGCCGTTCGGCTGACCTGGGACGGTGGGGAGGCTGCCTCTTGGATGGGAGACCATCAGGAACTCGGAGGGTTGGCCTGGAGGCCAGGCTGGGAAGGTGGAAAAGACGTCTCCAAGAAGGCAAGGGCGGCCTCTTCCGCACGAGGCCAGGGCGCCTCAAGGGGCCGAGTCCTTTCTTTTCGCATGCATGCTTGGGGGCCCTATCAGACACACTTAACTGGCTGGTTAAAGAGCAGAGCATCCCTTTGTGCAAAATGCTAATGTTGGCTCGGGTTAAGCTCGGGATGGGCCAGGGGCGGGGGAACAGCTCAGGCCATTGTGTGAACCTGGCCTGTTCGGTTTTGAATCGATGCGTTGTGCGGACCCTGAAGGCGGGCTAATTCAGTCTGCTGCCTGCGTGCAGCCTCCATACGTTAAGGGGAACGCCGGCTTCCCTCCGGCCGGGCAGACAATGTGGCAGTGCTCGGCTGGGGTCCTTGCAGGGCCAGCCGCACTGGCCAGAGAAGTCAAAGAGCAGAACGGCTGCTTGCTGTGGCTGGGAACCCAGCGCTGCTGCTGGCAAGAAGGGCCTGGTGACTCTCAGCCCTGCTGATGCCGAGCACCCCTCCCTGTCCAGGCCCGAGGAAGGAGAGGCCCTGTGTCCTCCCCAAGGCCTCTGCGCCCAAGAGCCTCGGGGGAAGCCTAAGGAGAGCCTGGGGAGAAGGCTTATGGCGGGCCACCTTGGACAGACTCCTCCTTGGGTGCGCCAAGCAGCGGGAACCCTCTTCTCTTTGGGGCTCCGGGAGGGCAGCCCAGCACCACGCACAGCCCTGCCTGGAGAGCAGGCGGCTGATGGCCCTCAGCCTGGAGCCGAACTGACCGCCTGGGACTGACAGGGTCTGGGGACCCTTCCAGGGCCCAAAGCAGCCTGCGCGCTTACGTCAGCTAAAACCACGGGGGCGGGGTGGGGGCGGGGTGAGGAAGGGCTTCACCTTCTGGCGTAACCTCGATATCGCAGAGTTTTCCATGATATTTCTCAGGACACATGCAGTAGAAGGCATCCAGGGTGCTATCGGGCAGACAAACCCCATCATGCAAACAAGGATTTGGCTGGCAGGGGTCGGCTGCAGAGGAAAGGAGAAGGGGGTTGGAAATGGGCAGCTGATGCCCCCTTTGGAGACGTGGGTGGGGCAGCGCCTGTGTCTGCTGCCCTCCCCCCCTGCTGCGGCTCAACCGTTCGGCGTCTCCAGGAACACTCACAGCGGTAGCACCCACGGGTGAAGTTGGAGATCCCGCAGCGATAGTCCTGGGGACAGGCTGTCGGGGTGCAGGAGAGGCCGGAGCTGTCCATGCAGATGCAGTCCTGGCTGCAGTCATCGGCCATGAAGCGTTGCCCAGCCTGGCAGAGGAGGAGGGAGCAGGGGATGAACCTGGCCTGGCCAACCAGGGCCCTTCCCACCCGCTTCACCCCAATCAGCCGCTAACAGAAACACTCAGGAGGAAGAAGATTGCCTAAACGCTCGGGTTTCTCCAGCAATACGTGAGCGATGGGTGTGAGAAGCCATTTCGGCCAGACGTGCCTGCGATGGCGACGAAAAGACTGTAAAGGAGAACAGCAACCTCTCCTCCATATCATAACCTCTGTGAAAAGGCCCGCTGTGGCTTACAATGCCGCCGACATTTTCGGCATAACAAGGAACGGAACTCACTCCTGGTACGGGTTTAAAGGAAGCGGGTTGCTGAGGATGAAGGGCTGAGCGGTTCCATGAAGGATGCGAGCAGACTGAGAGACTGTAAAGGGGGGACAGGCCTGTGGGGGAGAGTCAGGAATCAATCTGGGGAGAGAATGGACTGGGAAGAAAAGAACAGAAGAGACAGAAACTAGAATGAAAGTAGAACGACTGCTGGAAGAGAAAGTCTGTGTCTGTTAAGCAAAATGGAATAGAAAGTCATCGCCTGAGGAGGAATGGGGAACGGGCGTAAGGAAAGATGATGTGGAAGCTGAAAAAAAAATTAAGATACAGAGGTCCACAGAAGTACTAATGGGAAACACAAAAAATAGGCTGTTTGGTGGGAAGATACAGTGAAAGAGGAGAAAAACATAAGGAAATGATTGCTGGGGGGGAAGAAGAAGAATGTGAATGTGAAGAAAGGACAATTACAAAGAATGCAGTCAAGGAGAGCAAGGAATGATCAGGATGAAAAGAGGTAAAGAAAATGCAGAGGAATTTTGATCGAAATAAATGTTTTGGAAGTGGGTGAAGAGGTCTTAGCGAAGGGCCTCCAGCAGAGCGACCGGAATTAAGAATAAAACTATTGAAATGACTTGGAATGAAACTGAAGTGAGCGAATGTTGGAAGGAGCATTTTAGAGATGAGCATTAGAATTATAGCAACATGTGGAACTTAATCACATGTTATAAATGCTATTGTTCCACACAAGAAAGGAAAAAAAGGAAGTTACACGTGCAGTGAGAACATTAGTGTAAGATTGTGGGTGTAGATGAGAAATGTTAAAATGTGGTTGCAGTTTGCTTGTGCGTGGCTATAGGACATTTTTAATTGCGCGTGTGTGTGTGTGTGTGAGAGAGAGAGAGAGAGAGAGAGGGCTGCATCTGTGCAGCCTGATGACTGAAGAACACAGTGCAAAAGGAAAGGGAGCAAGAGTGAGTGCAAAAAAGCACAGGGGGTGAGTTGCCTGAGAAGGTGCTTGGCATAATTCTGTGGGCAAGGAGAGGGGCAGTGACCCTGAGCACGGCCCGGGAAGGGGAGCGTGGCTTTATGCCACGCAGCGAGCACGCAGCCCACATTCTGTCACTGAGAGATGTGTGAACACAGGGAAGACATCTTAGACGACATTTCCTGTTTTAGGGAAAACGTACGATAAAGCCAATGCTTTGCAAGAATATGGAAGACTGATTGCTGAAAGCGATACGAATGGTGTCAGGGGGAAGTAAAGCCCGCGAGAGGATCCATGGGATGCTCAGCAAAGGGTTCAGCATTGAGCAGGAAGACAAAGATGTGCGATCTCCCCTCGGTGGCTCGATGCGTTTACGGACAACGTACGAGGAAAGCCTGACTATCGGAGGCGTCTGCACCGGGGATGTAACTGTACCTGCGCTTTCATACGCCTGCGATGTTTTGTGGGCTGAGAATCTGAAAGATTAACAGGGCACGTGAGGCAGATTGTACCACGCAACAAGCAACGTGGATCGGAAAATGATCAAACACGTCAAAGACCAACGTAGCTGGCTTTACAGAGAAAAGGGGGTGAACCGCTGTAATGTATAAATGGCAGAAAACCAGAGCGGGTAGATGAATCTGCGTGTCTTCGTAGAATGGTTACTAAAGATGGAAAACGGGGGGGGGACTTTTAAGTTGGACAAGCGCTGGTAGAAAGGTGGTGGTAGCATGTAGTCTGTTGTGAGGAAAGAACGTTTGTTGAAAGAAGCGAAGCTGGTCGTGTGGAGAGTGTGAGGGGTGAGCGTGTCAGGAGAAACATCAACGTTGCATGGGGTTGGGGTTAGGGTGGGAATAGGGTACGCAAGAAGCGGGGGTGGGACAGCCAGAGGAGGGGCTCTGGAAGGGACAGGCCCTGAAGGCAGGGGCATCAGAGGGGGGTGCCCGACAGCAGAAAAGCCAGCTGAGACGGTTTGGTCACGCAGCGAGGACAAACCGGACCGAATCCCAGAATGAGGGTATGCAGGGAGACCCCATAGGAGAGGAAGGGGCAGACCAGCAGAGAGTTGACAGATGCTCAGACAAAGGGCAGGGAGAAGGCTGAAGGCCGCGTGGTGACTCGTTTAAGGACAGGATGGAAGCAAGGATGGTCCGCGGGGACCCAGAGGCATTGGAGTCGGTGAAGGGCGTGAAGAGGTTTTTCCTCTTTCCCCTCCTGCCTTTAATTCCTTGTACTCGCACTTCCTCCTCGTTTCCTGTGCTCTGAACTGAAAGAGCAAGGTCTTTATGCACATGCACGTGTGTTGGCAGGTAAGCTTGTCACAATGTCCGGTCCAGGGATCCTCGCCTGGGGGTTGAGACAGCCCTCAACCGTCTCCCTCTTTTTTGAAATCATGCCTCAGGCCTGGCGCCTGAGCCTGGATCTTGAGCATCCCTAAGCTTAAAAGCAGTTGTCCGCTCCTTCCTTTCTTAGCAGAGGTGTGAGGGCTCCGAGGAGGAGCTCTGGGGGACGAGAGCAGCCCCCTTCGCCTCCCAGCAGGCAGGAGCAGTCCCTGGCCTGTCGGGGGATCCGGTCTGTCCCAGGCTTGCAGCACCCGCGGGCCGGAGAAAGACCCTCTGCTGCAGAACAGGGAACCCGTGAGTTGGCCCTGAAGGGGGTGACGGCTGGTGGGGAGCAGTGGGGTGCAGGAGCAGGCCCGTACCTGGTAGTAATTGCCCATGAAGCTGCAGCCACAGTCCCGGAAGGGCACACAGTCGTAGCCGCTGAGGACGTAGCCGTCGTCGCACTCACAGCCTTCCTGGCAGAGGGGGCTGCAGTCGTCAGGGACAGCCAGCTCTGAGCACGACGGGGGGCAGGCGGACATGCACGGGTTGTACTTGCTGTGGGGAGGGCAGTTGGGTGCTGTGGACAGAGAAGCAGAAGCAGTCAAGGCGAGAGAACGGCCCTCCTCCACCCTGGGGAGCCTGGGCCCCCTCCCTCTGGTCCACCAGGAGGCAGCCAGGGTGAGATTGGGGGCTGCCCATTGGCACCATGGGGAAAAGAGAGACCCCCGGAGGGCTGGGGCAGGAGAGGGGCTGGTGATTCTGCTGGCTTCCGAGGCCAAGCCTTCATCCTGGGGTCAGCTCAAGGAGAAGAAAAGCTCTGCTGGTTCTCACCGCAGCCCATCACTGCCCTCCAGGTGGCCACCGAGACGTTCTTGCTCTGGCAGGCCGCGGCGTACTGCTCCAGGATGGGGCACAGGCGAGTGACCCTGTTGGCTTCTCTGCACATGTCGAAGAGGCAGCTCCTGCAGCAGGAGGAGAGGCAGCAGGCACCCGGGTGAGGGCAGGGGCCCAGCCCTGCCCGGGAGGGGCCTCTCCAGAGCAGGGAAGGAAGGGGGGCCCCAACACTGGAGGAGGAGGAGGAGTGTAGGAGGAAGATGGGGTGGCCTTGAGGGAGGGGAGGGAGAACTGCATTGAGACTTGGAAGATCCTGTTACCACTAACAGTACCACAGGTCTACCTTACTTTGGTTTCCTAATCTGGTCTACCTTGAAGGGCTGATAGGCAGTGGCCGGTCCCCAACAGACGAGGGATGCCTCCCTGCTCCTGTCCCCTACCCAGGGGCCCTCTTCCCCCATCACACTGAGGCCCAGGGGCAGCATTTCCAGCAACCACAGCCACTCCAGGTGGGTCTTTGTGGGGAGCCATGTCGCCTGGATCCAGCCCCTTGGGCCTCTCGGCAGTTCAGCGTATGGTGTGAGGTCCCAAAATGGGATAATTGAGGAACTAGCTGAAGCATCCGGGGTAAACCCAGCTGGGGGGGGGAAGGAGGTAATAAAAGGTGGCAGAAATGGAAGAGAGGGAGAAAGAGTGCATCAAAAAGCAAAGAATTGGGGGGGATTATTTATTTTGGGGGTGGGGTGGAGTAGGGTGGGATGAAAATGTCTCTGAAGTCTACCAGATTGGAAATTCCTAAATCCTGGGAGGCTGTGACTCTTCCGCATACTAAAGGAGAGGCTTTACTGCTTTGGCTCTCGGCTAGGGCAGTGAGAGCAGGAGGGTGACTGTCCTGCATCGGGTGCTGCCCAGAAAGGGGGGTGAACGCGTGGGGCAGAGGAGAAAACCACCCTCTGGAAGGACCAGGGAGACACAAGGGAGGAAGAGGGCCTCTCTGGGCTTGCGATGGCTGCCCCTTCCTGCCTCTCTGCCCAGGCCCTGCCATTCCTTGGGCTTCCTCCCAGGTGGCAAAGCCTGACAGAGCTGGCCCCCCTTGCAGCTGCCATTGGTGCTGCAATAAAGGGGGAGGTGCCCCAAATGCCAGCCCCGCTAAGGACACTTCAGACCCACTCACTTATGGGCTGGGCTGTGGGGAGAAGACGAAGACAAGGCCACAGGGATGGGCAGGAGGAGGAGTGGACTAGGGCACGTTGGGTGCAAGGGGGAAAGGCTCTTGTGGGGCCTCGCCCTGGAGCCCAGATCCCCATGGCCACAGGGAAGGGGTTTGGGCACCGAGCAGTGGTGGAGGCGGCCATCAGGAAAGGAACCAGCCCAGAGGCTCTCTCGGTCAGCCAGAGGGCTGCTTATCGCCCCCAAGGACTCCTTGGGGAGGAAGCGCAGGACGGAATCCGGCTGCTGCGTCCTCAACAGCCAGAACTGCCGGGGAAGGCGGTCCGCAGCCCCGAAAGCCCGCAGTTCGAGTGGCTTCGGGCTGAAGTTCAGTGCTTGCGGGCTCGGGGGCCAGAGGAAAGAAGAGCGTCACGGGGAGAAATGACCGAATAAAGGTTTTGAAGCGGAGACCCGGAGAAGCGGCCGAGGCGCCCTGAATTCCGCAGCCTCGGGGGCCGCGTGGGGGTGCAGCGACTCCCCCGGTCTGAGCAGGTGACCGGCTTCCCCTCCTCCTGCAGCCTCCCCGCGGCTCCTCTCCAGCGCGTTCCCCGGAGAAGAAGAAAGCGGCACTCACTGCAGGAAGTGCCCGGGCGCCTCGTGGGCGAAGCACTCTCGGAACGGCCCGCTCAGGTCCGCCAGGACTCCGCAGGCCGAGCTGCTGTTGGCCGCCCGCACGTCGTCTTCCGAGCAGGTGAGGGAAAACCCCACCTCCAGCTCCGCCTCCTCCGGGGCTTCTTCGGCAGTGAGGTCTCGCCTGGAAGGAAAAGGCGCTCGGCAGGGGGAAAGGTGGGCGGGTCTTTGCCCCGAAGCCTGGGGACGTTGGCAACAGAGCCCTCCGCCTGGGCCGCCCTGGCAGACATCCTTCCTCGCGCAGCCCGGCTCGGGGGGCAACAAGGAAGCGCCCGGGGCCGGTCTGGGCACCCACCGCACGGCCACGCTCATCCCAGGGAGAGGGAAGAACTTTGCCAGGAGGGACCACGACCAACACGAGTGAGATCTGCAGCGGGCCCGTGCAAGAGGCAGGAGGGCGCTGTTGTGCCCAGAGGGATGGCAGCTGTTGAGTGGGACAGGTGCCCTGGACCCCCCACAATCCCTCCTCCGGCCAAAGAATTTGTGCCTGGGGATGGTCAGTTTGCTCCCATCTCTCCCTCCCCCCTCCCCCTCCCTGAGATTATTGCACACCTAGTGCAGGGAGGGGAGCACAAGTTATGGGGGGGCGGATTTGTCATTTCCTGATGACGAGGTGGATCTTTCACCTGCCATCTAAAGCAAAACTAAAGGCTTCACTCGCCCCTGCAGCTGTTCCGGACCCACAGCTGCTGACGTTTCGCCAGTTCGGCTGCTTCTTCGCCCTTTCTCCACCCTGCCCGTTGCTAAGAAGGCAACAGGGAAATCCCTCGGCTCCTGGCTCCACCAGGCAGCCGGCTGTTGCGGGCCCGTTCTGGACCTGACTGAGGCCCCCACCGCCGAGGACAGAGGGGCCTTGGGGCTGCCCAGCTACCGGAAGAAACTGGGCGAGGGAGGCAGCAGCAGCAGCGTCCACCAAAGCGGCTGAGTTCTCAATCGGCGCCCTCGGAAGAAGGACCCAGCACCCCGAGAGATGGGGGTCCCCATTCCCTGGGTGAGTCCAAGCAGAGGCTAGGCAGGCACCGGCCAGGAAGTGCTCAGAGCAGGGTTGGACTGGTGCCTCTGGGGACCTTCTGGCCTAGGATCCGGGGATACCGGTGCAGGACAGGCTTTGGGGGGTCTGCTGTCACCGCTTCCCCCCCCATGGGTTAATTCTGCAACCAAGCTTAGGCTACTGTCAAATTACACCCCTTGGGACCTTGCTGACCCTCCTCCGCAAGGAGCATGCCCCTGGCAGCGTGGCAGGAGGGGGAGGGGGCCGCGGTGGGCCTGGGGAGGGCTCAGCCTGGCCTGCACTGCTGCTGCTGCTGCTTTGGGGAGCCAGTACCTGAGGCGGGGGGGTCCTCTCTCGACGGGGACTTGCCAGCTGTTCCCGAAGGCATTCACATCTTTGACCAGGGTGCCATCTGGCCTGGTGAAGTCGTTCTTGTATCTCCCGTCAAAGTTGCCACACAGCCCTTCAAGGTTCGTTTTGTAGCTGTTGGGGAGCGCGATCCCTGCCAAGAGGAAGAGGCATGTTGTGGTGGGGGCCCGAGGCTCTGGGCCGATCCAGCCCCCCCAGTGCTGAAATGATTTCCTTCAGCCCGAGCCCAAGGGGAGCCTTGGAGGGTCCTCTCTCCCCTGGGCAGCTGCTTCACCTGAATTCTCCACGCCGTCAAAGCTGACCGAGAGGCCAAAGTCGGACTCCAAGAAAATCTGCCTTCCGCTCTGATGGATGCGAAGGCCCTCGTGCGGTCGCGCCGGGGGCACAGTCTGCACACCGTCCACCTGGGCGGAAGAGATCGGAGTGTGACCCTGGTCCTCCAACGGCAGCGTCAGCTCAGCCAGGCAGCTCCCCTGGCTGACCTGCTCCTATTCCAGAGGGAGGCTTCTTGGAACAGCCTGCCCTCCCCCCCAGGCCAGGAAAGATGCCAGGCTGGGCCACTTCGGAAAACGTGTGCAGGACGTGGAGAGGCAGAGCATCCCAGAGCCGGTCCTGGCCAGGAGCTGGTGGGCTGCAGGCCGAGGCTACAAATGGGGAAATTAAAAGTGCTGCCCCTCCCTCAGCCACGAGTCGGTGGCTTTGGGCCAAGGATCGCCCATCTGTTTCCTTCCTTTCGGGCGGCAGAGGGGCAGAGGCTAGCAGGAACAAGCCATTTTAAAGGACCTTCCTGGGAAGGTCCACAGCAGCTCTCAGATCTGGACATCATCCTTTCGTTGTGGTCTGATGGCAGCGAAAAAAGTCTTGGCAGCACAAATTAATCTGATTAGGAGATGACCCATGGTGCTGGGCTAACAACTGCACCAGGCCACCGTGCTCTGTGGCTGAGTTTACCGGGGGCCGTGTCCACGCCAGCCGGGTCCCTGCTCCAGCAGTTCGGCCTCGGCAAAACGGCCGCGCCCTGTCCTGACCTCTCGTACCCTCTGCTCCTCTGCGTGCCTCGGCCCGTGTCTGCTAAGTGCTCGGTTGCCCAAATGTAGCTCAGGTGGGGGGCCACCCTCCCAAATCCCTGCTCATCCCCCCATCCCACGTCCGACCTTGGCCGTCCCCACTCTCGGCGCTCTGCTCTTAGATCCTGCCCCCGCCAGCTGCTCCAGGGCTCGCCCACCCACCCCGCCTGCCCAGCAAGAAGGCGCCACTCGCCGTTTGCTCAGGACGAGAACGCGCAACGCCGTCTTCGACCCAACCCCAGCCCACCATGATGGCCGCCCCATCCCCAGTTTCTTCCACTGCAAAGGCGCTATTTTC